GACCCAAGAGGTAGTGTTTCCAGTGGTCTAGTGCCTCTCTCAAGGCATAGAGCTCTCTCATGTAGGTGGAAGCGGCTACCTTGTGACTGGGCATGTGTTTGCTGTAATATTCAAGCGGACGTAAGCCATCACCATCGTCTTGCTGCAGCACCGCACCAATCCCATACAAACTCGCATCCGTAGTTACTACGAATGTAAGCTTGGGATCTGCAATGCGGAGCACCGGATGACTCACCAAAGCCTCTTTCAATGCTTCAAAGGTTGTCCTGCATTCTTCATCCCATGCGTAGGACACATTCTTGCTTATTAGCCTAGACAGCGGACGGGCGATGATAGAGAACTTAGGCACAAACTTACGGTAATATGACGCAAGACCAAGAAAAGAACGTAGCTCGCAGACATTCACAGGTTGGGGCCATTTTTGGATGACCTCAACTTTGGTTGCCTTGGGCTCTAGGCCTGCAGCAGACAACCGATGTCCAAGGTAGATGACGCTGTCCCTCCCAAACTCAGATTTCTCCAAGTTGAGATGGAGCTGCGCGTCCTTGAGGATCTGCATCACTTCCTCAAGGTGTCTCATGTGCGCTTCCATCGATTTGCTGAAGATTAATATGTCTTCCATATATACAACAACAAATCGATTGATCTGATTGCGAAATACCTTGTCCATGAGACTTTAAAAGGTGGCTGGTGCATTCGTGAGACCGAAGGGCATGACTGTGAACTCGTATAGCCCATCGCGAGTCTTGAATGCATTTTTGTGCTGGTCTGCAGGTTCGACCTCAATCTGGTGGTAGCCAGACTTGAGATCGATCTTGCTGAAGACTTTGCACCCACTTGCAGCATCAAGCAAATCATCGATACGTGGCAAAGGATATGCATTCTTTCTCGTGATCCGATTCAACCCGCGGTAGTCGATACACATCCGCAACTTACCTCCTTTCTTAGGGACAAATAGCACCGGTGCACCAAACTCAGACTCACTTGGTTTGATTCATCCCTTCCCAATCATATCATCAATCTGCCGTCGCAACTCCTCCAATTCGCCTGAGCCCATTCGATAGACACAACCCTTTGGAGGAGTGTTACCTTTAATCAACTCGATCCTGTGTCGGACCGGACGCACGGGGACTCCATGCGGTTCGGCCAAGACGTCAGAAAATCGGTTGAGAAGGTTGCGAATTTTCGGTGGGATTTCCGGAGGGGGATCATCACTCTCAGGAGCAAGCATGTCAGTTTGTATAGGTGCAGCCAAAACAACAGGATTGGAAGTAGAGTCATTTGGACTAGAGATGGACTTCGTAGAGGTAGAAGTAGTTGCATCCGAGGTGGACACAACATGCAAAGTAGAATCATTATGTACAGCAAAAATGGAAGGCACATGAGCAGGCCTAACAAAGGCTATATACATTTGCTCATCAGTTTTGCGCCTGCGCCACCTTTTGCAGAACTGCATTGCATTGAGAAAGGTCACTTGGGACTCGCGCGACTCATCCAAGAGGACTGGACGCTCGATTCCCATGGCATCTTTGACCATGAATTGCGAGTCCTTCCACGTGGTTCTTTCACATTGGGCCTGCAACCAGCCCAAGCCAATAACCGCGTCGAAGGGGCACTGATCAAGGACATAGAAGTTCAATTCATGCGTGATTGTACAGTCAGCGTCAAAGGTAGTGCGCACACCTTTGACTGCATGCGTAGATGTGACAACCTCCTGGTTGCCTACTTGGGTCCGACAAGGATTCTGCAAAGTCACTTGCTTCATCCCCAAGCGTGCCTTATGAATGTCGTGCGGTGAGAAGTAGTTAGCGGTTGCACCACAATCAGCCAACGCACGGATGTAACGGCCATTAATGTAGAGTTTGAAGAAGATCAACTTCGTCCTCCCTTGCGAGCGTTCTTGCTTCATGTGAGCCCAGCGCGTCAACAGAGCATGAAAGTCAATCTCTTCCGACTCTACCCAAGGCTCCTTGTATAGGATGTGTAACTTTTCAGCCTTGGAATCAGCATCAGATGGGGTTTCAAAAGAGGTTTGCTGAGTGGGATCAGAATCCAAGGAAGAATCTGTACTTACATGTTCAGCCTCTCCATCTGTAGAGTGTGCTGATGATGCCTCTACCCCCGTTGCTGGTTTCCCTGCTGCAATCTGAAACAGTGTTCGACTGAATGTCCCGGTTTGGTGCAATGCAGGCAAACTCCTCTCTTTACCCTGTTCTTCCACTCACTTTCACTAATTCGGAGATCTACCCATGGTTTTGTGGCAGGATCTTCCGGTTTTGGTGGAATCTTTGCTCCCTTGGGAAGAAGGGTAGTGTTAGTGTTGTTCTTCATTGTGGTCCTCGGCCCCTTACTCTTAAAGGCAGTCTTCTTAAAGGCATTCATGGATTCTTCGTCATTTACAAACTCAGACTCATGGGCTGATAAAGAGCAAGATGCCCCGCAGTCTTGCTCTCGATCGTCATCAAGAGAAGATTCATCCACGAGGGTCTCCTCATCAGCCTCAAGCAGATCATGCGCTGCAAAACGGTTGCTGCCTGGAAACCGTTTGCGGCCGATGGCCTTTTTGCCACTTGATCCATCCGGGAGGTCTTGTGCCTCCAGCTTGACTAAGTCCCGCATAAGGGTAAGCCAATCTATATATCCGGTGAGCCCGAGCCCTAGGCGATCTTTTAGAGTAGAGGGGACCGTACCTTTGATCACATCCAAGCAAAACTCCGCAGTCATCTCCAGATCCGGAGTAGCAAAGAGTTTACTAACATACTGCTGCAGGTTGTGCATGGTGCCGGTCCACTTGCTGTGCTTGAGCTTGTCAAGCTTAAGTCTTGCTTTAGCTGCAGTACGTGGATCAGCATATTGTTTGATCAAGAGATCCTCAAGTGCGGCAGTAGGCGTAGCCTTTAGCCATTTGTTCAGGTCTATTCTCTTATAGCCTGATTGGACAACTTGGGTTTCTAGGAAACCCCGCACGACGGGCTCCACATTGGTCCCCAGGATAGACGACTGAGTGGACGGGGGTGTCCCCNCTTGGGTTTCTAGGAAACCCCGCACGACGGGCTCCACATTGGTCCCCAGGATAGACGACTGAGTGGACGGGGGTGTCCCCAATACATCAAAGTAGGACCGCATAGAGCTGATCCAAAACTCGACGTCGTCCTTTCCGTCATACTTGGACGGAATCTGTGCCGCCTTCCTGTCGATGTAAGCAAAGTTGCCGCCTGGCCCAGCCATTGCTGGGTCCGGGTCCGGGGCTGCAACAGTTCCAGAAGTCCCTGCACCACCACTTGCCGCTGCAACAGCAGCAGCGGGGTCTGGACTTGCTGCAGATCCGCTTTGGCTGTTAACCACACTCAAAGAAGAAGAAGAAGTGGAAGGAGAAGAAGTAGACGTAGTCAGAGGGGCAAAACTCGACTGACACACAACATTGGAGGCAGGGTAGGTGAGTGAAGAGACGATTTGAGCCTGCTGCAAACTAGCAAACTGTTGCAGCTGATCGCGGTGCTGCTGCGCCATCTTGGCCATGTCTTCGCGCAACTCCTTGAGCTGCTTAAACACCTGTGCGAGTTGGCCAGTATGGTCCTCAGCAACCCGGACCCCTGCTAAGGCTCTGAGGAGGGGAAACGTTTTCTCCTCTACCTCCTCATCGGTCAGAGCGGACACGGTGCTAAGGACGGCCTCGTGAGCCTGCACCTTATCCCTTCTCTCTCTCTCTTTCTCTTCCTCCTCCCTCTTCAAGGCTTTCTCGTAGAAGAACTGATACTGCGGTTTTTCTGCCTCAGGGGCAGCGTCCATCTGCAGTTTCCAATCTGCTGCAGATGCCATGATGGACGATGAGGGTGTCAGTAAGACTCTCAAGAGGGGTCCGTACTTCCTCTCAGCTTTGTGACGAACGCTCCTCTTCCCTCTCCTCACTCCCTCAAGAGCAACACTCAACAACTTTTCTCTTCTCTCTCTCTCTCTTGTTTGCGACCGTGTAGACGCAGGCATTAAGAAACCCAATGAAAGCAACAACTTGAACTCAATCAGAAGAGAAGGTAGAACTCCTAGCCGGAGCGACAATTCATTTGGACTGGAGAGCAGTCATCTAAACAAAAAAAAGAAGATCAGAGAGATCTGATCTAGACACACAGTCTAGACTGACTACGTATGGGGTCCTCCCAAGCCTAGCCAGCCTCAGCTCCGTGAAAACACAGCAAACCAGATTCAAGATGTACAGCGAAATGCAAGAGAGAATTGAGTGGTGTATAAGGTGCAAGTCACGCGGCGGATTGTGCGGTAAAGTCTGATAAAACGTCCCAGCGGAGATCCCCTCTGTAGCGAGTGTCTTGGTCCGAAAGCATAAAGTCCGTATCCCAATCAGATAGAGCAAGGTAACTGACGTCAACAGATTTGGCCTGAGGGGCCCTTCTTGTTTGGGCCCGGTCCCACTGGGTCCCAAATGGTCCCAGTGGAGTCAGAACCGGGTCCCAACCAACAAGAGTTCCACGGAGACCTACTCTGTCCCTACTTGAATTGAAAAATGAAATTTTGCCCTAGAAAGAACCTGTAGACTACCGCCGTTCAGAATGAAAAACAAAGCACTGTAGAAAGATATCACATAGCAAACAAGATACTCCATTCATTCACTCATCAGGTGAGTAGGCAGTTCACACACCTCACACACAATCAAGACTATGGAGGATGGAAGAAGAACCCGGAGAACCCCAACAGGCAGTCAACTCCATGCATACACACATGGGCACCCTGGTGGCACGACACTTACCTGAGTGGTCGGGCTCTTGAGATGAAAAGCTCACCCCCCTCTCACATAGTCCTCCTGACCCAATTAGCATCCTCTACACTAGTGTCCTATCATCTAGGAGGGTCAACATCTACCCCAAAGTACAAAGCCGGATCCCCCGTCGATGTTGAAGATCAAAGCAGCAACTTGCAGTTCGTAGGTGCAGATATGGCTGCCACCCTCA